TGTGTGTGTGTGTGTGTGTGTGTGTGTGTGTGAATGTGTGTGTGTGTGTGTGTCTGTGTGTGTGTGTGTGAATGTGTGTGTGTGTGTGTCTGTGAACACTTGCGTGTGTATTGGCTCGCACACTCTTCACTCACTCCACCATCACCACCACACTACTGCCTGTGCACATCAGCCACACGGGCATCGGGGCAAGTTCCAGAAGTTGACCATCACGGGCAGGCGCGGGCTGCTGCACACAGGTGTCAGCATCGCCGGCTCCATCAGAACCAGCGCAAAGATCATGATTGTCACCTCGCTGGTGCGTGCACGTATGTGTGTGTGTGTGCTGATGTGTGTGTATGTGTGTGTGTGTTGATATGTATGTGTGTGTTGATATGTGTGTGTATGTGTGTGTATGTGCATGGAGGTTGCTTTTGGTGCATGCTTGATGATTGTTGCAGCGAATAACAACGAGCCGGTCGCTCGCAGCCCACCGCTTTCAAAATGCCATGTGTAAACTCACTCTCCCTCATCTCTCACCGCTCTCCCTCCCTCCAACCCACGCCACCGCTGCTGCCATTTGTCCGCCATCAGTCGTACCTCATTATCCAGGGCCCTGCCTTCTTTTATGAGCGCACGCACCACAAGCCGACACCCGGCGAGACGCACCACCAGTCCAGGCACGAACGCGACTGGGCCATCGCCGGGTTTGCCGTGACCATGGTCGCTTTTGTCGGCTACCTCATCTATCAGGTGTGTGTGTGTGTGTGTGTGTGTGTGTGTGTGTGCGTGTGTTGGGTGTGTTGGGTGTGTTAGGTGTGCGTGTGTTAGGTGTGTGTGTGTGCGTGTGCTGGGTGTGTTAGGTGTGTGTGTTGGGTGTGTTAGGTGTGTGTGTGTGTGTGTGTGTTGGGTGTGTCTTGTTGTGCTGCCTGAGCCTATGTCTGTTTCAGCTTCTGTGCTGCACACACGTCCCACACAACGCAACAACTGCCACTTCACCTCATCCCCGTTGTACATCACCCCTTTTCTGCTACGGACGTTAGGTCAAGTTTGCCAATATCGACGATGCAGTGAACAACGCGATGCGAAAGGCCATTGGCGAGAAAATCGTCTCTCTCTCCGGCGCTTTTGCTCTCGATCTACAGGTACCGCTGACACTGAACACACGGGGGGGGCATGCACAGTGTGTGTGTGTGTGTGCGTGTGTGTGCGCGCTGTGGTGTACATGCTGATGCATGCGTGTGCTCTGTGAAATGGCCACATTTACAAAACTGCGCCCAGCTCACACAAACACACACACAACGCACACAAACACACACACAACGCACACACACACACACTCACGCGCGCGCTGCACGCTGTATACTCTTCAGAAAACGGCGGCGAGTCGGCGTGCGTCCGCTTCTGAAGAAACCGGACTGATTGACCGCAACCCGGCGCGGTTGCGCGAGTTTCTGCTGTCCTTTTTCCACAAGTACGACCACGACAAGAACGGATCCATTGACCAGAACGAACTCGCCCTCCTCCTCAGGTAATGGGATCACACACATCGCGCACCCTGCATGGTGTGCATGCACGTGTATGTAAATGTTGTGTGTGTATGCATGTCAAAATGTATGTCCATGTGCGCATGTACACCCGCTCGCCTCTTCCTCTCTATCCTGTTACCCCTTCGTGTTCCAGCACACTTCTTGACCATTCACCAGCTCACATGTTGCACTCCCTTGGTCATGCAGAGACCTGAACGAGGACACGCCACCAAGCATCCTCATGAAGGAAATCGACACAGACAACAGCGGCGCAATCGGTACATGCACACACACACACACACATACACCAACACGCACACGCGCGCGCACGCGCATTGCTGCAGCTGTTCTGCGTCTCACTTCTTTTTGAACTTTTGTTGTTCATTGCAGACTTTGACGAGTTTTCAACGGCAATGATGCATTACATCATGCAGGCCGACGACGGCACGGTGAGTGGGAAGAAAGGGCGTGTGTGTGTGTGTGTGTCTGCGTATGTATGTGTGTCTGCGTATGTGTGTGTGTGTGTGTGTGTCTGCGTATGTGTGTGTGTGTGTGTGTCTGCGTATGTGTGTGTGTGCGTGTGTGTGTGAAATGTAGCTGTGCGTGGCGTCGTAATGACAATGTACAGAAGAGCTCATCTGTGTATCCCTGCGCGTGCACACGTTAACACACCACGACAACACCAACTCACACAACAACACCACGTCTGCCCCCCCCCCCGCCGCTGTGCAAATGTTTCGTCGTTGCGTCTTGTGAAGTTGCAGCACACGGGCCAGATCCAATCCGTTTGTGAGTCGTCTGCACAATACGAGGGCTCTTGTGCATGTCGTGTTGTCGACTTGCAACGGTTGGGAGGCATGCGGCAGTGTTGTTGAAACTTGCAGCTGTGTAACATCATTGCCACGTGCATCGTCACGCACACACACACATCACCACCACCACCATTGTGTTTCAATTGCAGCGGCGTTTAATGGCGGTGCGACGGAGGTTGATGTCGACGGAAGCGACGACGACGAGGAAGACTATGAAGACGAAGATGAAGACGAGGAGGAAGACGTGAGTTTCATTTGATGGTCGCATCTTCACTGTTGCCGGACTGAATTGTGTCACACGTGCACACATACACACACTCACACACGCACACACACTCACTCACTCACTCACACACACACACACACTCACACACTCACCCACTCACTCACACACACACACACACACACTCACTCACTCACTCACTCACTCACACAC